CACCGCCGCCCCCACACCATAGTTCTCACCTGTGATGCGCTCTTTTTCAGCGTCTGAGGCTACAATAACTTCATCTTGTAAATGTAAACGATAGTGAACGAAGATATTAACTTCTCCGAACAAGGCTTGTTTCATCCTCGTAAGCCAGTAGGAGAACGTTAGGATCCCAACCGATATAACCTGGATTCAATCCTTGGCGAAGTGAGGCGATTAAGCAAGGTTCCTAACACATGCCGACCTTGTCTCGTAACAGTTAATAAATGCCACACTGCTTGGCTTTCTTAGATTAATTATCTAAGGTTATTAACTCAAGATAATCTTACCAAGGTCGACTTCTTGTACATAATACATACATATCAGTCACTTTCGACTCTGAGAGGCGACTGCCCTCCTCCCTTACTCTACATGCGGTGAGAAAATACGTTCTACCCTTCACCTGAAGAAGAGGCAACTCCCTGTCAAAAGTATTAGGGCTAATTGGTTCGAATCCCATTTGTTTCGTGAGCTATTGCTAGTAGTTCATACAGTGCTTTAAACTTTCCTTTAGACTCCATAGCCATGTGTAAATAAGACACACATTGCGGGTTGTGCTATTGTGTTGTCACTTTTCATCCACCAGGAACCTAATCAGTTCACGGTGAACTGATAAAGTCACTGGTGGACGAAATGTATTCATAATAAAATACAATAACCAGCATTGTGTACCTTGTTTACATGATGTGGTGTACTCTACCACAGTATTACTTTTCATGGAAATGTCTTATCAGGTCTCATTAATTTTGATGTAGTTTCTCCACCTTGTATTGTAGTATGTGGATTGTGGATATTATTCAATAAACACTAGTCTTTTCTATGCATTTATCTTTCTGATTTTACCATATTTTTTCCTCATTTAATAGTATGATCGGTCCCTCACAGACCTTTGTTATTTCCCAGTAAATTCATCCCTTTCGTCTCATAGCCCTGTTACATGGTTACTTACGGTCATCTTTTTGTTGTGGGTCTGCAACAATTTCGGCACTGATTTGGCTTTTCACTTTGTCATTCTCAAATTGTCTTTATAATTCTTTTTCACTGTGTACAATGTACATACGTTCTCGATTGTTTGCTTCTTTATTCTCTTTTTTTAGTTAGTGCAAATTCTAGTGCTTTTAGACTTTGCTGTTCTGAATGAGTGAACCACGAACTGTCCGAGTTTCGAGGAATAAAAGTAACAGTACCGTAGCTGGAACAATTCAGAAATAACCAACATATGAAGAAATAACTTGTGACGACGTTTCAGTCTGTCCTGGACCATTGTCTAGTCACAGCAAATGTGGTCTGACAAGGTCCAGGATGGACCGAAAAGTCATTTAAGTTTCCTCTCCCAAGTGCTGGTTATTTGTGAATTGTCTTTGTTTTTCCTGTTTATTTAATTTTTAATTAGTATGAATTTCTCTTCTGCCCATAAGCACTTCCAGGTAGTTACTCCGTCATTTCATTTGCTATCTTTTCTTCCATTTTCATTTTCCACTGTAGTGCATTGATGAAGGTCTCATTCACGTGTAGTCCTCATAAAGACTGAGGGAGACTGACACCAGTCAGTCCACCTATCATCATACTGTCATGCAGGAGGAGCCACATGTCCATGGTGTATCCAACAAGCAGATTCATGAATGTCACTACCTCCTGGCTTCGGCTGGTTTACCTGGCTCCGGCTGGTTTACCAGTATCTCTGGGAGGTTAAATCACCATTACCAGATGATGCAGACTCAACTAAATGTGAACTTTGCCAGATGGACAATTGTCACACTTGCGTCATTATGTACCGGAATGTAATTAAGTAAATTAATTCAGAGACAACTCACTCAGGAAAGTTCAAGGAATGTTAAAGTATTTTATCCTCAGTAGTATATTATCATTCATTTTGGAAAAAAAGCCTGACTTTGCCCACTGTAAATAACGCATAATCACTTAAACTTTTTTTTTATTACAAGCATGTCTTGATAAAATATAAAGCAATGTTTTTATATTTTTTTTTAACTAATTCATGTTTGCATAAATAACTCACTAAGATTGTAACCAGACACAAACAGGTAAATACACAATTCATTACCACTGTAACTTGTTTAGCTATCAGAACTTTGTGGTCCAGTCCCTGCACCCATTATGTGCTTCTGTAATGTTTTGGCTACCACCCACAACACGGGTATGGGGAGCATTACGAAGATATTAAACTAACTGGGTGCTGGCCCAAAGACTCCCTTAGACTATTTCCTTTACTTCTCACGTGTTCGTGGTAAGAACGATACACAGTCTTACTTGTTCATCCCCTCCTTCTCCCTCCTTTCTCTCCCTCCCTCTGTCTCTCTCTCTCTCTCTCTCTCTCTCTCTCTCTCTCTCTCTCTCTCTCTCTCTCTCTCTTCTCTCTCTCTCTCTCTCTAGTTTTGTCTTTGACTTATTAGTACACGAAACACTCCATCACTACCTTCATCATCTAAGCTCTCTGTAAGTTTGGTCTTCTATGTGGTTTCCATTTTTCTCAATCTTTTTCACTGTACTTGAAATCCCTTATGATAAGTAGTTTTCCTTGATCTTCCAAGGCTCTTCCTCGATGCCTTTATCATATCTCACTTGTATTAGTCTTCGTGCTTCTTTATTGAATACAACTAGTACTTCGTAGATGAATGGTTCAGAGAACCATTCACTGGGTCTCAAAATCGTGATTGTACCCGTGACCGCCCAGCTTATCAAAGTTCCAAGTATTCCTGACCAACAGTATCGCTCCTCCATCTACGCCTCAGCGTTTTTTCTTCACTACTTCGCATTCTGGGGGAAATAATTTTCCATAATTCCTGTAACTTCTTATGTCTGGTGAAGCCTCTGTTATTCGTACATATTCAGCAATTTCCGTCGTATTTTTGGTTATTAATGTGCATGGGCCAGTAGGCCTGCTGCAGTGTTCCTTTTTTCTTTTTTATTTGCGTATCATACTTAGAGGTTTCCTTTAATTAATGAATTATCATTATATTAATGATATACAATGTGGAGAAGTAGATGAATAAGACACATGTCTAAAAGTCACTTATTCTGACTGTCGAGACGAAGACCTTAGCATGAAGAAATCCTCATGTGGGGATTTCCTCTCCCTCAGTGATCGATCTTCGTTACACTTACTTTGTTACAACGTATATTAATCTGTATTTACGTATAATTACGAGACATATACGAAATAAAAAAAAAATATAGGTGGGTTATGTCTGGCAGCGCAAAGGCGTCTTGTAAAATCTCGAGTTTCCATAATCTCACGAGTAGTAAAAAAAATGAAGGATGGGCTACATGAAGGCGAGGTCTAACTGATTATCCGTCTATATAGCGGAATATTGCCTATTTCTTCAAAATTTGTCGCGAGTTTCAGTTTATGACTTAAAACATAATTTACTTGATTTAGACCTCATCGAATGATCTTACGTTGATAAAAATAACTCTTAATTTAGAGAAGTACACGACGTTTCGATCACATGTACTGAGCTTTCTCGAGTGAATCTGATTCACTTGAGAAAGTTCACTTCATATGAACGAAATATCCAGTTCCTCTATAAATAAAGATTCTTCTGTTGTGTTTAATATATTCTTTTATCACTACTTGTTGGTTGTTGCCACAATTTCACATGAACCGGTCTTGATTACATCGTGATTGTATTTGTAATGTGACAATAAATTTGTTAGAATGGCGGCAAATTGGTATCGACAGTAACACAGTGGCAAGAGAGCTGAAAATTGGTAATGTTGACAGTGAACTGTTGATATCAACAACTTTTATGTTAAAAACAGTGAATAACATATGATTCATGTGCTTGTTAAACTTTTACAAACAAGCCAGTAGTAGTGACGTTACTGTGATTGGTGGTAGTGACGGCATTCTGATTGGTAGTGGTGATGGTATTATGATTGGTAGTGGTGATGGTATAATGATTGGTAGTGGTGATGGTATTATGATTGGTAGTGGTGATGGTGTTATGATTGGTAGTAGTGATGGTGTTATGATTGGTAGTGGTGATGGTATTAAGATTGGCAGTGGTGATGGTGTTATGATTGGTAGTAGTGATGGCATTATGATTAGTAGTGGTGATGGTATTATGATTGATGGTGATGGTATAATGATTGGTAGTGGTGATGGTATTATGATTGGTAGTGATGATGTTATGATTGGTAGTGGTGATGGTGCTATGACTGGTAGTGATGATATTATGACTGGTAGTGGTGGTGTTATGATTGGTAGTGGTGATGGGGCTATGACTGGTAGTGATGATATTATGACTGGTAGTGGTGGTGTTATGATTGGTAGTGGTGATGGGGCTATGATTGGTAGTGATGATATTATGACTGGTAGTGGTGGTGTTATGATTGATAGTGGTGATGGTGTTTTGATTGGTATTGGTGATCCGTTAGAGTTATATAGAGCCTGTGGAATTGGAGGCAATCTGGTTTGATCCAAGGCAGAAAAGGGTAGCTACAAATCCTTGGATCAAGAGCCATTTATCAGGATTAAGATGTCCTTAGCCCCGTTGAAGGGTTCTTATTACTGCTAATAGTAACAGTGATGTTATTATCGTTATAGTAACAGTGATTAATAACAGTGATGTAATATATTAAAATTTTTGTTGTTTCTGTTATTATTATTATTATTATATTTGAGCTATTATTGTAATTATTTATATTTTTTCTAAAATAATTACAGTTTTACTATTATAATTGTAATTTTTAATTATATAAATGCCATTAATGATATTATTATTATAATTATGTATTAATATAATAAATACTTGAAAGATTTTTTGACTGCAATTTTTAAACTAAAAATTCTTGTAGTTACAACAGTAATACTAATTTTAATAATACAATTATTATTATTATTATTATTATTATTATTATTATTATTATTATTATTATTATTATTATTATTATTATATTTTTTATTATCATTATTATTATTACTAATGTTCTTTTTATTGTTTCAGATTGGCGTTGCAGTGATAACACATGGAGGACAGAATCCAGCACATCAGAATCCGAGTAAACACTCAGAGGCGAAGCTTCAAGTCACTCAATGTGTTGAAAGGTGCGGCTAGAAGCGCTCTGCAGCGCCCCGGATGTTGGAACAACAGCGGGGAAGCATTTGTTAGCAGACACCAGCATCTAGAGCAGCTCCTGTCATGTTAACAACAGCTGTCATAACAGCATGTGTCAGCTGACACCAGTATCTAGATCAGCTTACGTTATGTTAACAATAGCTGTCATATCAGCATGTGTCAGCTGACATCAGTATCTAGATCAGCTTACGTTAGGTTAACAATAGCTATCATATCAGCTTGTATCAGCTGACACCAGCGCCTAGGGCAGCTTACATCATGTTAACAATAGCTATCATATCAGCATGTGTCAGTAGACACCAGCGTGTACAACAGCCTAACGCCAGCGGCGCTCCGCCTCGTCCTTGCCATTTGTCAGCAGACGCTAGCATCATCAAGAACAGCCCATACTAACGCTGGCTACTCGCTGCGTTATCGCCACAAAGACAGCGATATTACTGAGCAGTTAATCATTACATTAAGGGTATATATAATACCGACAAATAAGTGAGTAAGGCTCATATGCAGCACTTGGGTATTTCTTGTCGAAACGTTTCGCCGACTCAGCAGGCTTCCACAATCAAATACAGATGAACAAGTTTTCATAAGTTCAACAGCCACGCTAAGCGACTCCTTCATGAATACAATAATAACAATGGCTATGGCCGGACTATTATTAACTACTCGCATAATGAAAGAGGTTCAGGAAAAAGCTCGTAAAGGAAGTATTTGTTTCATGAGGTATAGCATCAATTCACATAAATATTTCATCATATAATAACCTGAGAACTTATAAACCGACTTTTTACAGAAAATTCTCATAAAACATTTACCTTCGTTGAGAACAATGTTATTGACTCACCTAAATAAACACTATTACACTTGCCACTTGAGACACGTTACAAGTGCAACATATAAACGACACACTAGATCTTGCAACATAAAACAATATGTAGCTGATATAACTGACATTAGTATTGCATAAAACATCATGCAGGTGAAATAATGACTTTTAACTCACTGCCACAAGACATACATTATACAGCAATAGCGTGGTGAGTCACAATGAGGAATTGTCCTCCCCATCGTGGAGTTGTTCTCCCCATCGTGGAGTTGTCCTTTCCATGCCATTAGTGGTCCTCATGGGATGAAAGTTATATTATTTTGATTATGGGAACTGTTAAGCCTGCAGGAGACACACTACTCGGTGTATATAATGTACACATACTATATACATATATAAAACATATGCGCCACTTGGTGTATATTCACAGATCTGTATTTCTGACGGATGCACACCTCTCGGTGAATATGCTCATATATACATACCTCGCTGTGTACATACTAGGTCTGACAAGTGGCTAAGATAATATTGTATTTACTTTTATGCAAATGGCACCATTTAATTAACTTTAAAATCTGCAATAAAAGTGACAGAGTTTATGCGTTAAGTTGCTTGGTGAGAAGAATCTTGTGGTGACAGTGTCACGGTAGAGAATAAACAAAAGTTGTACATCAAACTTTTGTTTAAAGGTCGTTTTGTCCTGTTTAGAGCTTTATGGTAATTAATTAATAAAGCTCTACATAGAGCGAAACGTTGTCCTCATGAGAGCTTGTTTAGTAACTTGTTTTTCTGTACTAAGATATTGGGAGAGTGTAAGTTGTAACCTTAATTTACTCAGAAAAGACAGAAGACAATGATGTCATCTTCTTATAATAGTATATATAATAATAATATCTTTATTTACTACAAGTACATGTACAAGGTATACAGGCCTAGCTGACATCAATGACTATATAGAAAGCCGCTTGTTATGCAGAGCATTTCGGGCAAATTAGGTCAGTTTTGTCCCAGGATGCGACTCACACCGGTCGACTAACACCCAGGTACCCATTTTGCTGATGGGTAAACATAGACAACCGGTGAAAGGAAACACGTCCAATGTTTCCACCCCTTCGCCGGGAATCGAACCCGGACATTCACTGTGTGAAGCGAGAGCTTTTGCCACCAGGCCACCAGGCTTATGCAGTGCTTATGAAGTTGCCAGGTCTGGTATCAACTTGCTCCCCTCAGTCTTCAACAGGGTCAACTTTACGTGATAAAAGGGGTTGGGATGTTTATTCCGTGAAGTGTGTTTGGGTGGCTACTAACTCCCAAGTACAGTCCATGGACGATGTTATGGGTTACCGGGACGTGATGGAGAGACAGCGAGGGGTAGTTATTTGTCTCTCAACACTCTCCATGACAGTATCCAGTAAACAGCTCTACAATGTCATCACTCGGTAAAATTTTATCGCTGCTTAATACAAAATGGTTCAGCGATTTTTTCTGAATAGAATAAAATATCTTACCCGCTGGCTCCTAAGCAATGAGAAAATGTTGGATGTGTAAATAAGAGAAGCGTAAAAGAGGATGTACAACATTTAGAGGATTAATAATGACTTTTCTCAAGATATTATAATGTGCAAATGTTTGTGTCACGTGGGTTCTTAAGGTCAAGAGGACCTCGCCTGTTTTCATTTTTACTCAGTATTATCATTTTACTTATGTTTTTCTTATAAATTTAATGCTTAAATTCTCTTTTAGAATCAAAATATTAATATTACGGTTACTATTGTTGTTTTTGTTATTTTTGTCATCACTCGTCCTCTTCTCTTTTTTTCTTCTTCTTTTCTTTATCTTCTTCTTCTTCTTCTTCTTCTTCTTCTTCTTCTTCTTCTTCTTCTTCTTCTTCTTCTTCTTCTTCTTCTTCTTCTCCTTCTTCTTCTTCTTCTTCTTCTTCTTCTTCTTCTTCTTCTTCTTCTTCTTCTTATTATTATTATTATTATGATTATTTTCACAACTCCATTTATAATTTGTATTATTATTCCGCCTACAAAAGACGTTACATAACGAGCAAAGCTCAAAACTACCAACAAAAAAAATAGGTAATTCCAAATAGGTAATTAGAAATCGGTAGTTAAAATACTAACAGAGTAGAAAAGTAGGCCTACTGGCCTATACTAGGAAAGTCCTATTCGCGCTCAATCTTTCCACTGAAGTATCTGTATTACTTAGGACAGGTTAAGGTTCTCAGGACACAGGACAAGTCTTTACTAACGCAGGTCTTAGTCATATGAAGACCCGCAGCTTGAGCTCTTGGTCATCTGACCGAGGCCTTCTACTGGCTTACCGATCCACCCCTTTAAAAAATATAGTTATGATTGTAACCATTCGATCTTGTGTTACTTGACGTTACTCTGGGTGTTTTTGTGTTGTTGGTTACCTTGGATGCTCTGGTATGTATTTAGGCTAATTATAATATGGCGAGCATGGTTGGAAAGGGATCAAGATGCCGATAGGTTTGATAGTACAAAGAAACTAATAGCAGAATCGACCTTATTATGGTTTAGAAAGACACGTGAGTAAACACTAGGACATATTTATTAGAAAACATTTCGGTCCTGGGACGTTGGTCACTTCTAACATACTGAAGTTGAAAAGAAAGTATAAAAAGGCGGAGAGTGAGGTGTGAGTGACGCATGGTGACCTGAAGAGTGAGGTGTGAGTGACGCATGGTGACTTGAAGAATGCCATTTTTTGATGAGGACAAGTTTATAACTTACCACCGCATTCGTATATACAACTGAGTTCTTTCTAACAATAGATAAAGTTGCCCTATATTCTTGTGACTTCTGGTATTTGTTGACATGAAGCCAAGTAGTCTTAGCTTTAAGGTGAAGCCTCATCCACTGTTGACATTACTTTATATTTCTATTAACTAGAACTCTTACGACTTTATCGCACTGGGGGTGATTACATTGTGTGTAATTTAGTATATAGTTCCCACAATTATCTTCATCCAGGATTGGAATCTAACATTTGTCCACACTAAACTGCAACTTTACGTTACCGCCGCCAACAACATCAGTCCACGCAACTCATCTAGGTGTCCTCAGAATTTATTTGACGGCTGTTTTGTGTGTCATCCGCGATCGTATTTATATGTCTGTTTATTCTCTTATCTAGGCCGTGTACGTAAATTGTGAATAATAATGGGTTCAATATTACCCACTGTAGAACGCCACATATGACTGGTTCTTGTTCTGATTATTACCCAAACTCTGTTGTAGATCGGTTAGACGAGCCTCCGCGAAGAAGGAATCACTAAAAGAATAAATATCACAATGCTCTAACTGGAACAATTAGCTGTTAAGATACAATTCGAGGAGGAAACTTTAGACGACATTTCTATTTGTCCATGACTTAATAATAGTCGAAGGCAGACCGAAACATCACCCAAAGTTTCCTCTCCAACATTGTTGATTAACAATAAAGAGAATACTAAGCTTTCTGAAGTCCAAGTAAGCAACGTCATATTATCACTCTCCACCGTTTTAGTTATCTTAGAGAAATAGATTATAATTTTATAGAGAATGAAAACCGCTTGTGATGGACAAGACGTGTGCAACACAAAGGTATCTTTATTACCGAAATGTTACGTCTGCGTTCAGGCTTCACTAGTAGGATACAGGTGAATATAACACTGGAGACAGTAAAAGTTATCAGTCCCTCAATCTTCATAGGAGGTATTTTGTCGTTCAGCCTTTTGTGATGTCCTGAGACTCATTTATTAAATTATATTCATTAAGTTATCTCTGTATCGCATTTTTTTAGTGATTTTAATAACTGAGATCAGCCGATATGTATATAACTTTTCCAAGCTATGATGTCATCTCCCGATTTGTATACAGGTATGACAGTGACCATTATTGACGTCTCTGGTACGAGACCCACTGGAAATCTTAAAGAGACTAGTGGTTTACTAAGTACCTATTTTCATTTTTTAAGTACTACCAGGGGACTTGGTTGGTTTTAATTTGTTAAGCTGTTTAAGAGCACAGCTCACTCACGCCTATGAATTATCCACGCCCACATTTCATCCACATTCACAGCTTACCAATACTTACTGCTTACATGCACCTAGAATTCACCCACACCCCACAGGTCACTCACACCCACAGGTCACCTCCCCCCTCTCCTCACCATCAACATGTTCACTATCAAAACACCATCAAATCACCATACCTAAAAACAACGCTGCTGGAATATTTATTTGTTTATTTGCTGATGTTTTTGCTGTTGTTGTCGGGGTCAGATTTTCAGAATTATTTTTATTTTGGTTTTATTTTCTTACTTTATATTTATAGTATCATTATGTAAATAATATACTTGTATATATTTGATAATTTTGTTAGTATTACTATTTTACTCTTAATAATCATAATAATACTACTACTACTACTACTACTACTACTACTACTACTACCACTACTACTACTACTACTACTACTACTACTACTACTACTACTAATAACAATAATAATAATAATATTATTATTATTATGATTATTATTATTATTGTTGATATTATTAGTTTTTGTTCATCCATTCAGTTACTCTACGTAACTGCAACTACTGTACTTCACTGCAGCCACTGCAGCTACTGTACTTCACTGCAACTACTGTACTTCACTGCAGCTACTGTACTTCACTGCAGTCACTGCAGCTACTGTACTTCACCGCAGCTACTGTACTTCACTGCAGCTACTGTACTTCACTGCAACTCCTGTACTTCACTGCAACTACTGTACTTCACTGCAGCTACTGTACTTCACTGCAGTCACTGCAGCTACTGTACTTCACTGCAACTACTGTACTTCACTGAAACTACTGTACTTCACTGCAGCTACTGTACTTCACTGCAACTACTGTACTTCACTGCAACTACTGTACTTCACTGCAACTACTGTACTTCACTGCAGCTACTGTACTTCACTGCAGTCACTGCAGCTACTGTACTTCACTGCAGTCACTGCAGCTACTGTACTTCACCGCAGCTACTGTACTTCACTGCAGCTACTGTACTTCACTGCAACTCCTGTACTTCACTGCAACTACTGTACTTCACTGCAGCTACTGTACTTCACTGCAGTCACTGCAGCTACTGTACTTCACTGCAGCTACTGTACTTCACTGCAACTACTGTACTTCACTGCAGCTACTGTACTTCACTGCAGTCACTGCAGCTACTGTACTTCACCGCAGCTACTGTACTTCACTGCAACTCCTGTACTTCACTGCAACTACTGTACTTCACTGAAACTACTGTACTTCACTGCAGCTACTGTACTTCACTGCAACTACTGTACTTCACTGCAACTACTGTACTTCACTGCAACTACTGTACTTCACTGCAGCTACTGTACTTCACCGCAGCTACTGTACTTCACCGCAGCTACTGTACTTCACTGCAGTCACTGCAGCTACTGTACTTCACCGCAGCTACTGTACTTCACTGCAGCTACTGTACTTCACTGCAACTCCTGTACTTCACTGCAACTACTGTACTTCACTGCAGCTACTGTACTTCACTGCAGTCACTGCAGCTACTGTACTTCACTGCAACTACTGTACTTCACTGAAACTACTGTACTTCACTGCAGCTACTGTACTTCACTGCAACTACTGTACTTCACTGCAACTACTGTACTTCACTGCAACTACTGTACTTCACTGCAGCTACTGTACTTCACCGCAGCTACTGTACTTCACTGCAGCTACTGTACTTTGCTGCAGTCACTGCAGCTACTGTACTTCACCGCAGCTACTGTACTTCACTGCAGCTACTGTACTTCACTGCAACTACTGTACTTCACTGCAACTACTGTACTTCACTGCAACTACTGTACTTCACTGCAGCTACTGTACTTCATTGCAACTACTGTACTTCACTGCAGTCGCTGCAGCTACTGTACTTCACTGCAACTACTGTACTTCACTGCAGTCACTGCAGCTACTGTACTTCACTGCAACTACTGCACTTCACTGCAACTACTGTACTTCACTGCAACTATTGTACTTCACTGCAACTACTGTACTTCACTGCGACTACTGTACTTCACCACAGTTACCATTCAGTACCTCACTACAGCTACTTGCTTCACTGTTACTACTGTACACTGGCCAGTGTTTCACTGTTACTGCTGTACACTGGCCAGTGTTTCACTGTTACTACTGTACACTGGCCAGTGTTTCACTGTTACTACTGTATACTGGCCAGTGTTTCACTGTTACTACTGTACACTGGCCAGTGTTTCACTGTTACTACTGTACACTGGCCAGTGTTTCACTGTTACTACTGTACACTGGCCAGTGTTTCACTGTTACTACTATACACTGGCCAGCGTTTCACTGTTACTACTGTACACTGGCCAGTGTTTCACTGTTACTACTGTACACTGGCCAGTGTTTCACTGGAATATGTGACTGTGATACTGGAATGAGTGTCTGAGACGTGTTTCTGTGTGTTTGTAACACTGGCTACAGACGATAATCTAACCTAAACATACCTACCCTAACCTAGTGTAACCTAGTGTAGTT